CTTTTTCCCCCTTCTTGAACGTCGTTGCACATGCCACCCCAAAAACCTATAAATGGACGGTACTTTTTCTGCACTTATTTGTTTGCGTATTACAGTAAAGGAGAGTACCAATGAAATCCTTACAATGCCACTCTTTCCTTGTTGTCTTTAGAAATTTGATGGCAATGTGGACCAGCACAATGTCGTGAAAAACTGGTTTAATCAGCGATTCCGAGCGCGGTTCGTGAGAATAAGACCTGATTTGTATAGCAGTCCAACAAACACAATCTGCTTACGTGCTGAGCTGTACGGATGTGATACAGGTAACTGAGACTGATGGAAGAGTCTGGGGTTTATGTGTAAATAATAATGTTGTTGAGACGCCGGTACAGAAACAGAAGGTAGGGATCCATCTTTGGAGAAGCCAGACTACTCATCGTTGCAAGAACTAAATTCTGGACTTTGTATACGATGGTTACGTCTGCAGTACGAGCGGCAGTCAAAGCCGAGCTGTCCCTACCGAAGCAATATGATATAGTAGTCTTTTTCTTCACAGCTAACAAAGAATAATGACAATACTGAAGTTGCTTTGGCCTCGTATAATGCTTAACTCAAAATTCTAGGTTTGCTTTGAAGAGGAACAGCATATTTTGTTCAAAATGACACAACTATCATCCTACCTGGCGACAGCGATCGACGGTCGAACGCGGGCGACCCATTTTTCCCCCAAACTAAAGGCTTGGAGATACAAAATGTGTCATTTATTTTTTACTTTTTACAATCTGATATGGTCTTTAGAATTGTAAATCCATTTTCGTGAATACTTAATGCCTTCTCAAGCGAGAATACTTACCCGAGTTCAATCCCCCTCCTGCTTACATGCATTTGACGTTAGGACAGCACAGTTTTTCCTGTCTGCTGACTCCTGATTGGAGGAAGGTATCTTGATCGAGCAAGAGTACAACTAAATGATTGCGCTCTTGCTTGAGCCTTAGCCCCAAAGAATTGTTCAAAGGGTGGATAATGTAATTCACTTGGTGAATCGCTTTCCGGTAGACGATTCTGAACAAACAAAAACTACGCCATCTACTGAATAGTAATTAATCCCGCAGATTGCCTTACTCATCTTTTGAACACCCAGGGCCTCTGTTCTAGTTGACCACCACATACTTATCAGAACAATACGGTGGGTGCTTGTTTAGTAGGCAAGGGGTACAACAAATCCTTGCGGCTGTTTTGTGCTGTCATTGAAATGTTGAAAACATTAAATGAAATTCTACTTTGTTTCTCGACAGATATTGTCTCTGTTGCGATCCAAAGCAGTATGACGAAAAACTGTTGGACGCCAATGACCTTCTCAAATCCATGCGAGCCTGGAGATGGAACGCTGTTTTCTTTACAATCCTACTGTCAGGGGGAGGGAGTGATGATGACGTTTCGTGGTGATGGAAGCCTGGTCCACAGCTGTAGCGGCAAGTGCGTGTTCAAGAACGCAAAAGATCAACTTGCCCTCAGAGACGGACCATGCGATACATTTACAAGGCGTGAAAATCCTTCTGGGGCTATAGTTCTTACTCATACAGCCAGTGGCTTGTGTGTCAACTTGGACGCTGCGAACAAGTTGATTTTGACTAACTGCAGTAGCACGTATCTGTTTGAGCTCACACAATCAGGTAATTAAAATAGTGGTTTGGTTCCGGCAAATGGTGGTATATGTTAATGTTAAGTTTGAGTAGGCTTTCCACCCGGTAGGGACACCCATATAAAAAGTACAGGGGTACTCGTCGGAAATTTTGAAAATAACCCCTTAGATGTATCAAGACCCTGTTTTGTGGGCATGGCTTGAAATTGTTCTCACCCTCAAGAATTACTAAGGCAACACATTAACTGACACTGCCTTTTTTTGGCTCAATACCCTAAAAAGTACAGTGAAAGGTCCTGCTGTGGGACCTTTATTTTGAGACTGAACACCCAAAGAGGTACCAAAAGCGATTTTTCAACCCCTAACAGGTACGACGAGCCCTCCCGTCCTTTCTATGTGGGAGTCCTTTCGTGAGGCTTGCTATTTCCTTTATCGCACGCAAAGTCAATAACAAAAATATCGATGGCGATTAGTTCTAAACATTTTCACATAGCATCTTGTAGCTCTCACATTGAGCGGAAAAGACTTAATTATGTTTTTTTATACTTTTTTCTTTCACGCAGGTCTCCAACCAATTGAACCTAAGTTAAAGAAAACTAGCCCTCAGTACCTAACACTCAATAAACCTGGCTGGGTTCACTTCAAAGTTGTTTCTGATCCCCGCGCAAAGTTATTCTGGAGTAAAATGCGACCATGGCCTGATGGAGAGAAACTTCCCAGCCTCGAATTTGTGCCATTTTCAAATGGATCATTGTATGTGAGGAAGGCAAAGAAAAGTTATGAGGATAGTTACTATTGTACGGCGGTCAATTCTGGGGGGTATGACTTTGAAGATGTCGACGTTAAAGTGGGAGGTGAGAATACTCAATGTAACACTTGATAGTGGTTGTGTAGAAGTCAAAGTGCATCATAATGAAGACCTTGCTTAAAACCCCCACAGCCTTTGAAACCCACAAATGAAGGTGCCACTAAAAGGTTGAGGAAGTACCTGACAGTTTGAGTACTGGGACATAAGCAAGCTGTTAGCCTGGGGGAAGGCGAGAGAGTGGACAACTTGAGCTGTACTAACATACCATCCATGGAAGTAACAATATTCTTAGCTGATGCTGCAAACACATGGACAAATTCTGGTGGCGTGGGCCACTTAGCCTAACTGAAATTGATCAAGAATACCCAGACAGGCATTTAATTTTCATCACGAGATTTTTGTTTTTTTTGCAGAGCCACCTCGTCTGGTCAAAATTCCAAGCGACTTGACAACTTCAGTGAACAAAACAATCATGTTTGACTGCAAAGCCACAAGTGATTTTGGAATTAAGTATTTTTGGTTCCAACGTGTGAAAGGATCTTCTTCTTTGATCTCCATATTAAAGCTGGACAAACGATTCAACATTTTCCCCAATGGTTCTTTGGAAATACGCAGGGTACAGAAAAAAGACGAGGCATTCTACCACTGCAAGGCTGAAAACCCCATCGGATCTAACAATGTTTCAGCTTTTCTGCGAGTTTTGGGTAAGCGCAATTTGTTCCTCAGATAAGTCAAAATGTGAACTTGTTTTTAATGATTGATTCAAGTTGTTGATTGGCCTAATGTTATACATGGAATGAATACAAAGGGCTAAAGCGACATATTGCTTGCTATGCACGCATTACATGCCTGTAATGCTAACTGATTATTGTTTCTACCATTATTGACGTAAATCACATGTTATTTAGTTCCACCAAGCTTTACAATCCGTCCTCGTGGTGCTGCCGAGCCATCTGGTAGCTCTCCTGTGTATAACTGTCAAGCAGATGGGGACCCCATGCCGACCATCAGCTGGACCAAGATTGGTTTGACCCAGCCGCCAGCAGAGCAGCTAAAGAATGGCAGCTTATTACTTAGGGACATTAAAAAATCTGATGAAGGACGATATACGTGTTCAGCAACCAGTAGCCTGAAGACCATCACAACTAAAATTACTATAAGTGTTTACAGTAAGTTCATTTGCTATACTTAATTGAGCTCAGTCACGGTATTTTGAGTTATTTTGATCACGTACAAAATCACCTTTGAATTGAAGAAACGTGAAAATAAGAGTTTACTAAGATAGAAAAACACCAAAGAGATAATAATAAACCATTAGGGAACAAGGATGATTAAGGATGGAGACGATTGACACGGATTGCAAACGATGAACTTGAAAAAAATCGGCTAAACTTCTCAAGATGCGTAAGTCGTGACGTAGCTCCTTTAAGTGAGTGACATAGCTGTAAGTAAATTGGTTTATTTTGAATTTGATTCAAAGCCTCTTTGTCTTATACACATATTACAAAATTAAGTTGTCTTCTATTCGCATTTCAGCTGCCTGTAGAATTGATCCTCAGCGACATGCAGTCCACCGCCCAAATCGCAGGTTCTTTGCAGCTGGAGAAAAAGTTACTGTCAGCTGTAAATTAGGGTTTAGAACAAAACAAGATGGAAATCTATCTTGTCAAGATGATGGAAACTGGGACAAGAGCTTTCCCCAGTGTACTGGTATGAAACATGTTTTAAACCATGCCATAGAGAATACAGCTAATCAGAATACAAGAAAGCTGCTGCATATTCGAAGGTGTTACGCCCAACCTTCCCATCGTGCGCCACGCGTATCTCACATTGACTGTGTTGGCCACTGTATTTTCTATGGCATGGTATAAAATAGTTATGCCTAAAGGCTGTGTGTATACCGAGAAAATCCAAGTAACTCGTGGGATATTCCATGGTATTCCACCCGAAGGCGTTGCATAACTAGAATGTATTTGGTCACACTAGGAAACACCTATGAAGGGGTCATGTGAAGGGTAGCGGCCCAATGCAGTTGCTGTGTTGTTATAACTTAAGAGGTTCAGCTAAGCCATGGCCGGGATTGTTTTCTTTGACTACAAGTTATTCTTGCAATCAGTGTCTCTCTGCCTAGAAGTATAAATGAATACTAGCAGATTGTTAGCCGAATACAACCTGATAAAATGTGGGCAGCACCCCCCATTCAGAGAGAGGAGCAATACTCGCACTGCTGCAGTAAGCAGTGTGTGCCAGCATTGATCAGTCATTGGTCTCCCTCGGATTCCCATTTCTGGTACAGCCATTACCTTACCTTATACCTGTGACTGTCTACAATAACTGGCTTTGTCATTGCTAGCTGCAATGTTACCTTTCAGTCATTTTTTTTTATAATTGACGAAGTTGAGTTTCTTTTCTGGCCAGATCTCGATGAATGCACAATCCTTGCATCACTTCCAAGTCCACAAAATGACACCAACCTTCGAAGCTGTCACGAGAAAGCGACCTGTGTGAACACTGTAGGCTCGTACAGATGCGAGTGCATCCGAGGATATGCTGGGGACGGATTCACATGCATCGGTAGTATTTAATTTATCTTTATAGGGAGCAGGGATGGTGAAGTGTTGAGAGCGTTCCCCTCCCATCAATGCGGCACAGGTTCGATTCTGACCCGGTGCCATATGTACGTTGAGTTTGCTGTTGGTTCTTGCCTTGCTCAGAGGATTTTTCTCCGGGTTCTCCGGTTCTCCTCCCTCCACAAAAACCAACCTCTCCAAATTCCAATTCGACCAGGATAGAGGACCAAAATGAAAACAATCTAAAGCTGATGTGGCTTCCCTTCTAAATATTGTAATTTGTTTATTTCTTTATCTAACTCATTGCTGTTATGATCTTAGTTTGTAATATTGGGGAAAATCATTAAAAAAATAAGCTTCAAGATTTAAGATCAACAGGACTCGCAAGTTTGATTCTTTTGACAAGACAAACAGCTCTTACAGTCCCTATCTACACCCATTTGTACAAATGGCCGTGGATAATGAAAACTTGTCGCAGAAACCTGAAAAAGCTTCATGGAAAATATTCGGAAAAGAGAATCATTTTCTCTGCATTAAAATGTGTCGAAATCCTGCGCTCTTGCTGAAGTCCCTAGACAAGGTTAAATTCGATTTGAATTGGAGATAAGTTATTTGGTTTTAGGAGACAAAATACACAAACTGTGGCCTTTCTAATCCTTTCTACTAATGTAAGACTTATCTTTGCTTTGATGCGTTGTTATAGCCGTTTGTTTGCCACCAACGCGGCGAGGGAATGAAAAATGGACACCGGAAAAACCAAGTTACCGCATTGGCGAGACTGTATGGCTAAACTGTGCCACTGGGTACAAGCTTGCAGATTCAGGTGTTTCAAGTGTCACGTGTGGCAAAGATACTCAGTGGACTACCCCAAGTCCAACATGTCAAGGTAAGTAAATATGTTATTTGCCGATTAGGAGGTCCGTATAATGAATAACTGTGACCGAGGTCACAGCCCGAGCCCGAGGTCACAGTTTTCACTATACGGACCGATCATACCCGGTAAAAAACTTATTTACGTTTTCTTCTCACTCTCAAACCACTTTTATAGTTGATGAACTTTTTTCACACACACATCGCGCGTGCGTTACCTTGACCTTGATAGGAAAATCCGGACCGCGCTATGAACCAATCAGATTACAGCTACAGGTTACCGTGTCCTCTTGGACAAAAACAAAAACACTTTTCAAGCCTTTGATTAACTTTTTACTAACTGTTATTACATATGTATTCAGTCTCCTTTTCCATATTAATTGTAATACTTACAATTAGTCCAGATTTGGAAAATGCAGGTGTTTAATTAGGTGTAATATAATGTTTGTTTAACGAAAAAATACTTTTCATCAGACAACAATGAGTGCGAGGGATCTCCCTGCCACAACACTGCTGACTGCATCAATACCGAGGGCTCATTTACATGTAGATGTAAACAAGGATTTGAAGGAGATGGCATAACGGAATGTAAAGGTACAGATCAGGGGTATCGTGTTATCTTGTTTGTGTTTATCAGTAGTTTCGGTCCAAGATATTTCATAAGTTCGACCATACTGAAAATTAGTTTTTCATTTAAATGATTTCGTCCCAAAGTTTGACATAAACTCCAAAAAAGCACCAGAGGCTTCTTTTCTGGGCATGGCTGCAATTTATTCTCATACCAAGATGTCTAGGTAGCAATTCTCAGTCATTCTCACAAGTGAGGAAGATGATTGCTTCGGATATATTCTTGTCTGAAAATTTGTCCCTGTTGTTCTTATCACTTTTATTCAACACTTTGCCTCCAACCCCCAGCACAACTCATTCCTCTTAGAATTAAAATGTTGAGCAATGACGGAATATGAACTTGCTTAATTTTCAGTGGAGAAAAAACGTGTCGTGACTGGATCTGATGGCAAAGCGTGGAAGTATTCAGACAAGTTGAACGCCCTCGACGATAAAGTAAGATTAAGTTCATAATTATTATTTTAGTCATGTTTTTAAAGGTTTCTAAGTAGAACATAGTCAATATAGTCGTCTTTTTCTTACAAAATTAAACTTCGTGCAAAAAGTAATTTTCTTTTTGGTGAACAGCTCAAGCAATTTGAAGAGAACAAAATTACCTCTGAAGAACTCTTGGACGTGGTATTAAACTCCTCTACCCAGGCCCCGGACTCTAAACAGTTGCTTCCGGGTGATCTGGTCATGGTCATGAAAGCAATGAATACTGCTGTGTCAAATATGAATGCCAAACAAAGAATGTCAGCTGCTAAGGTAAAAGAAGCGCTTTTGTTCTGTTTCGTTCTGTATCCTACGTTGCTTAGAATTCAATCTGCCTTTTTATTCTTTGTGATATACCTTTGAACTGGCAAGGAAGATTGGTTTCCGTTGCTTTATTCAAATTTGATTTTCATTCGTCCCTGAAGAGGTGGGCAGAGATTAAAAGCTGAATTTCCTCGTAATTGAGTGTATTATATGGGTTTTAACTCTTACAAACGTAGTTGGTTGATTTGCGTCAATGCACTTCATGCTAGAATCTTTGACCTGTGTTACTTGTGAGTTGTTACAATTGCTACAGTACCAGGTTGTTACAGAACGTTCTTCCTCCACAACAACCGACATTCCAAGCTGCTGATTCCTTGTGTGCACTTTGCTTATCATTACTTTGAAGTTCAATCGAACTAAAATTTCCGGATGTCTTCCCAGACATGTTTTTGATGTCATTAATTTTATCTCGCTTTCATTTTTACAGCAAACTTTGCAAATTTCAAGTAACATTTTGGATAAGAAGAACAAAGCCCAGTGGGATGAACTGCAAGAGGTGCACTCTCGTGTATACTTGCTTAGCAAGAATTTTAATCTAGTCTCCCCGTCTCGCAAAGTAGGCATTTGCACGCATTACATGCCTACAATACGACCCTGCAGTTGACGCAGTACACATTCCTGGAGTATTTTCTTTCCCTTTACCCTTTCCCTCCGCCCGCAACAAAAACATAAAGAGGGTGCTGATCTGTCCCAACAAATATGTCATTCATTGAGATCATTTAGAAACAAATATCCCACTTGCTAAGTTGTTCTACAAGACTCTCAAAAATTTACTAAGAGTTTTCTTTGATTTAGCTTGTGAGGACATCTAAGACATGGTACTGAAATAAACAGGTTTTTTTTTTCTTTGTCAAGGTCAGGATTCGGTTGTCAATAGATCTACTTTACCTAGGAATCAGCTAAGGGACCCCTCACATCAGCAATTACCTCGGCTAAACTTAAACCCAACGAATTCACCATTATACATTTACTACTGTGCTTTCCATACGTCTCATCAAATGATATAGCGACGATCCTATCCATATACAACTTTACTCTATGAATATACCAAAAACTTAAACTGTGTATAAACTGCATTTTTAATTTATTCTGTAGGACTCCAAGGGTGTTACTGAGGTAATGACTTTATTGGACAAGTTCGCCATGGAGCTGGCCACTGATTTAGAAAAGCAAGGCTCTGTAAACGGTAGCAATGCTACTGTTGAAGTTAAAATAGACAGTATTGGTGAGTTCGAGACTCAACTCAAAGGCTTGTTCGCCCGTTGCTAAGAAAGAAGTGTAAAGAGAGACCTCTTTTGTCTGCAAATAACTTGTAATTGTCAGTTATACCGAATAGCTGAAATCTGCAACAAACAAACGTGAAAGAAGGTCAAGGTTGATGATAAGCACTCAGTTTGTTGTGGTCGCTAAGGTCAAAAGGCCTTGATAAATAGAAAAGACAGGGATTTTTTCGGTCACTAAACTTGCTAGTATTGTAAAACGAGTTTTCGTAAAACAGAATTATAAAATTCTGATTAAGTTGGGTCCTTCTTTTGCAGTTAAGAGGTTGTGCTGATTGTTTAATTTATTTCTATCGTCTTGTCGGTTTTAGAAATGAAAGTGATGGTAAAAGAGGCGAGGAGTTTTTCAAGCGATGTGGAGTATCCTGAAAACACAAAAGAAGGGAACGATGGTTCCGCACAGGTTCGCTTGCCTCAAGAACTATTTGAAAAATACAAAGGTAAGGAGTTCTCTGCTTTGATTACTTTCAAATATAAATGGTGGCAGCCCTGAAAATTGACTGTTCCGTTTACCACTTGGGCTTGCCACGATGGTGTCGATGGTCTTCCGGGTCTAAACTGCGAAACCATTGGCCACGCGAAAGACCTACTCTTTACATTGTAATATTTGGTCCGTGTACTACGGTCGACTTGCTAATTGGTTTCTGTTACCAATGAAAATACACCTTTTAAGTAAACTTTAATCCTTAGAAGTAAGGACTGTTTTTGGATCTAAACAAAACTCTCTAAAAACAGAAAGTAATCCGGGAATTATGTTTTCTTGACGTATTTTTCGTTTCGCTTTCAAGCTATTAACGCATCTGTTTTGTGTTATTGTAGATGGCACTCTCGTCAAAGTGACAAGTTTGTTATTCAGAGACTTGGGCGAGCTGATGCCAAAGAGAGGAGAAGGAATGAAGAAGTAAGTCTGCTGGTGTCGACCCTTTTTACAATTCCACAATGTCATGACACGGTTGCGAAACGACACAGTATATTTTATATCGTATTACTGTTTTTGTAGGTTCGATGTCAGTTCTCCAATCGTGTCCAGTTCCCTGTCTCCTGCTCCGTCCGATGATAAGCTGGACCCACCTGTCACCATCATTACGATGAATGAAAAGGTACTCTCCGTTCCACTTTTAGATGTGAATTTTGCAGCACTTAGCCAGACAACAGACAATAGCGCTTCACTTATTGTTTTTCATAGCCCTTTAAGTATCGTGTAATCATGAAAAACATGTTATCTTTGATTGGACAAAACATGTCACGGAAAATTGGAAGTTGAAACTGACAATTCTCTGTGCACGACGATATTTTTAATCTTTTAGCCAGCAGACGTGGAGGCGGTCGAGAAATGCGTTTATTGGGACTTTGAAAAGTAAGTTCGTCATATATATATTCCATAATTATTTCAAGACTTTAATTTAACTCTTGGTAAAGTTGTTGAAGCCGGAATCACAAGTGTATGATTAAAATAAAGAAATAAATGAAAAAACATAGTTTTAACCTGGATATTTCTTCTGCCAAGTGAATCAACCGCAAAACAAACTGGTTGACAATCATTTCTATCAATTAAATATCAGTCCCCGGATTGCTACTGTAGTCAATAGACGAATACCGTTAATGATATCGGAATCTTGTGTAAAAGTAGTCATGACCAGTCGTATTTACAGTTTTGTTGTTGATGTTACTCTTTAGCCATTATTACTCAACTTTTGGATTAAAGCATGTTGTAACCATAAACGTACTGGAATTCTTTCAGGTCTAAGGATCTGGGTGGTAGCTGGTCAGCGGAGGGCTGTCGAGTGGTATCTAGCGGAAGTAACGGAACAGTGTGTGAGTGTGACCATCTGACCAGCTTTGCCACGTTGTCTGTTTATGACAAGGTAAACTTGACTTGTTTTAGATACACGGGACAATAACAAGGCATCGAGAAGGTTATTGTTTAGAGCCTTTTTCACTTGAGTCTGGAAAGTAATGGACCTTTTTACCGATCTCACGCAATATCAATAATTTCTTGTATTTTTCATGTAAATAAAAGAACTACCTCCATAGATCAATTTGTCCTGCCAAATTTAATAAATATGAGAAGTTTCGTAAAAATCGGTTGAAAACTCGTAAAAATACGGAACCCCAAACTTGCAAATTTATACAAGGAAATGTATGCGAGAGGCAAGTGCTGCCTCCTTACATCGCGACTTGACCCAATAACTTAGCAACCGTTACTGTCAATAGACAGACTCGAATGTAATTCCATGACTGTTTCCTGTGATTAACTCTCGCCTTGTTTTTTTGCCTCTTTTTATTTTTAGGAACTCGTTTTTTCCCTTATTATTTACATTGGCTGTGGTCTGCTGCTCTTTGCCGCGCTGATAGCGCTGATAAGACACTTATACATCTACTGGTAAGTGCTATGTTTTTAGTACATAATGTTGCAGCGTTATTGCAGTTGATAGGCAGATTAAATAACCACGACGAGGACAACGTCGATTAAAAAATAACTTTATATTTTACCCACGAATCTGGCGACTCTCTAAAGTCATTTACTTTGTTAATTACTGTCAAAACTATCACGAAACTGAATCTGGAACACAGCGATAAATTTCAAATATAAATTTAAAAAATTAACCCTCGTGATTCACGTTCCCTAAACAAAGCAGAAGTTAGTCTTTTCATGTTGTTGTTTTGTAGAAGACGGCAAAGAAATGTGCCAAAAATTATAACGCACGTGCACAGCAATTGTTCTCCTCATTAAACCTTTTGTTTAGCGACGTTCAGTTCAGCCATCGTGGTTTTCTTAAACTCCCTGATGAGAAAAATATAACTTGATGGCGTGGTGTAAGGGCACTGCTACAAGACTTGTTGATTACGGGTTGTGTGTTAATGGAGAAATCTGCTCTGTTAGAATGAGACATGTTTCCAATAATTGTTTCCTAGTGTAAACACTAGGGGCGTGACGCTAACTAGCGTTGATGTTGACCCTTCTTAAGTTTTTTGTTCCTTTGTGTTTTAACAGCAAGCTCCGTGCAGAGCGTTCCATTTTACACATTAACCTCTGTTTGGCCATAGCTGCTGGTATAGCTCTCTTCATTGGCGGGCTCAAACTAACGAAAATTCGGGTGAGAGAAATAACGAAAGAGAAGAAATGCAGTTTCCTATCTACCACAAACTTTTAACCACTAACGTGACTGATTTCATGGACTACGAGCTGGCTAGGAATAGCCCCAGGAACAGCTGACAACGAGCATAATAAATAAAAGTATTTCTTACTCGACTAAGTTAGTTCAGAAAGCCAATAATTAAAATCACAACCAATCAGATTGCTCTAATATTCTCTAAGTATTAGACTGAGCACTGTCCCAAATGATCCCGCTCGATCAATCTCGAAGATTTTCTGTAGTTGTATGGTTTAGGTTTCTGAAAGAACTTGCTTTCACATAAAAGATTATTTTTTCCTTCCAACTCTCTTTCCCTTCTGTTTTGTTAGCATCATACTTGAATAGACGCCCAGTAGGCCTCCAGTTTGAGATATTTTTCCAGTCCGTGATCGTAGCATTTTTTCTTAACAGTTTCGGTCGTGTAATAAATCTCCTATTAACCAATCTAGCTTGGGACCTTACTGTGAAGATATAGCCCTAGCCCTTTTTACTGTCAAGACCTCGGGCCGATATTCTCCTAGTACGGCCCTGGTGCTTATTAAATAGTCTCGTGTGCTATCGCAGGTGGTGTGTATTATTGTTGCCGCATTGCTTCAGTATTTCTTCATCGCGATGTTCTGCTGGGCATTGTGCGAGGGACTTCAGCTCTTCATGACTCTTGCAACAGGGAAAAACAAGAAAGCCACACGACTAAAGTATTTCTTCATCATTGGATGGAGTAAGTTGAAAAAGTATTTTTCATGATGACTAGATATCACTGTGGCTGATAGCTGGGGTCAAATAAAGCTTGTACCACGCCCATATTGGTCTCCTTTGGGGTTTTAATTTAAATTTTCTGACGAGTGTCCCCGACGTTTTCATATCGGAGTCCCCTCGGGGTTGCAGTTACACATTGGATCCTTAACAAAGTGATCCCTCCCCTTTTTTACTCGGCACAGTAGTTTTGACTTAGAGACGAGTGCTTACTGTTTCGTCAAAATATCCAAACATTTTTAATAAAGTAAACCTCTGTTGCGAAACGCTGGAGTACCATCACGTAATCAGAAATTGTATTTGTTTGTTTTTCACAGTTTTCCCGCTGATTACAGTTGGAATCTCTCTCGGCGTAACTCAACTGCGTGGCTTCGGAAGTGATGAATGGTTCGTTCTTTAATTTTTCATTGTACTTTCCCCCACGAGATCACCGTAATATTTAATTGAAACCCTAAAACGACATTTGTAACTTGTGCTGTCTTTGTGATCAAATAAGAACGTCTTTCCGTGAACTTATTTATATAAGAGGAGATAGAAAATTATGCACATTTAACAAAAGCTGCTTATGTATAAGTATTCCTCCGTCAGAATAGCCGACTCTGTAGCGCGAATTTTACTCAGGTGGACAGCCCAAGCGACTTTGCACTCATTTTCATCCTCAAAGGAAAAATCCACGCAACGCTCATGGGGAGAATTGGATATCATCTCTAAAAATAACTTGAGAGGGATTACCTTGGGAATGAGACCTATATGGGATATGGGGGAAAAACTCTTTTACTCTTCATCCGCTCTTGGTCAAGCAAGTTTTGAGCCAATCAGGGCTCGTGTTCTTACTCCTGTACTCGTTTTGTTCCCAGGTGCTGGCTTGATTACTCGACCGTGTTAATGTGGGCCTATGTTGGTCCTGCTGGTGGATTTATTCTGGTGAGTTATTTTTAGATCATTTACATTGTCATCGTTAGCTGTTTGAATATGCAGCAACGTCACACTCTTTTTAGACGATTGTATAACGCTAGTGCTTGCTGCTTTAGGCAACTCCATCAAGCTAAGTGACGGACCGTTATTTTTCTGAAGAAGGGGGGGCTAGGGCATTTTGTGCGATTTTTCTTAGCAATTTTTGCTGTGCAGGAATTTTTTGGAAATTGCATAACCCCCTTCCTCAAAAGAATAACGGTCCGTCCCGAGTCACGATGTTGTAAGCATTTCTGTCACGCTGAATGACGTTCTTTAAAGTGATTCTGGCATATAAAAAACTGGCTTTAGTAAACAACAGCTGAAGAACCGAGCTGAAGTCGTTCTGAATACCACACCCAACACCCCTGGTTCATAGATAAGTCCATTGCGGCTGCTCTCTGCTTTATTTCAGGTCAGCCTCGTCTTGATGTTGATGATCCTCTGTGTCAAAGGAAGAGTTGTCGACTCTACGGATAGGCGAAAAGTCTGGTGAGTAAAACATCAAATTGTTCTTGATTCTCCAAACTGCCAGACCTGTCAAGAACCAGCAATCGCAGACGCATTTTCTTGGCCCTTCAGTTTTATTAAGGGAGCTACGTCACGGTTAACGCATCTTGAAATGTTTAGCCTAAATTTTTCAAGTTCGTCGTTTGTAATCCGTATCCGTAATTCGTCGTTTGTAATTTTAGTTAGAGGACCTAAATAGGGATAACCTCGTGGTCCTCCTTTTCAAATACTCTTTGTATTCTGTATTTGAATAAAGTATTATTATTAAGTATCGATCCTCTCCATCCTCAACCATCCTTGTTCCGCTATGGTTTATCATTATCTCTTTGGTGTGTTAGTTAATTAATATTTTCAGGTTTCCTTCAATTTCAAGGTAATTTTGTACGTGGTCAAAATAACTCAAAATACCGTAACTGCGCTCCACTAGATTCGCTGCCTCCCAGACTAAGCTTAGCTTTCCCTTGGCTAAACGATACGAAAAATCAACTTAAAAATTTCAAATGTAACAAAAGGCTTTATAAAAAAA